GGGGCGCCACCACTCTCACACTCAGGGCAGGGCCGATGGGGAGGTTATGGCTCTACCCCATCACACACAGAGCAGGGCCTGTGTGTGTGGGGGGGGTGTTGGGGAGCTCCCCCCTATCAGGCACAGAGCAGGGATGCTCAGGGGGTTTGGGCGCTGCCCCCTGTCACGCTGATCCCGGTGCGGGGAGGCATATTATCCTTTTACTATATAGGGTAGAGGCCTGGTGCATGGGTGGGGCCGGCTGGTTGCCCTGAGGGGTGTCCTGGATCAGGGTGGGGGTCCCCACTGGGGTGCCTGGTCAGTCTGGGTGAGGGACTGAGGACTATTTTCAGGCTGGGAGTGACTGAAGTTCCCAACCGCTCCTTTTTTTCCTTTTTTCTTTTTTTATTCTGGGCCAGCTTTACCTTGAGGCTTGGCTCCAGCTCTTAGGCCTCCGCGGCTGAAAGTAGGTTTCTGGCCTTTGCTTACAATGTTGCGAATCTGCTGGCTGAAGTTACAATGTTTCTTAAACTGCCCCCTCAGAGGCCTGCAGCCGCAGGCTGGGAACGTTGGTTTCCTCCAACAATCCTCCTTCGCTGAGGCAAGCAAGCCTCATGTTAGTTTCAAGCTGCCTGGCTGCCGGCCACCATCTTGGCTGACAGTTAATTTGCATATCTCGATGATTAGCCAATGAAAAGGGTAGCAGTCGTACGCCAATGACCATGTTTCTCTTTTATTAGTGTAGATGTGCAGTAGAGATAAAATTCAGCAAAAGGTCATTATATATGTCATATTTTCATTGTCATACAGTTATTGATAGGTTTCTACTTCTGTCTCAATACCTACCTTGCTCAAAAACTATTGGTGAGAGGACAAATTAATATAATTTCCTTTTGCACAGAGCATTGAATATTATGCTCAATAGAACTCTACCTTCTAGCCCTAGCTGATTTGGCTCAGTGGCTAGCGCGGCACCTGAGAACTGAAGGGTCCCAGGTTCAATTCTAGTCAAGGGCATGTATCTAGGTTGCAGGCTCGATCCCCAGCAGTAAGGGTTTTCAGGAGGCAATCAATCGAAGTGAGTTTCTCCCCGTCCCTTCCACTCTCTCTAAAAATCAATGGAAAAATATCCTTAGGTGAGGATTAACAAAACAAAAACAAAACAAAAAAGTCTCTACCTTCTAGTCATAAAATCACTTCTAATCTACACTTAATCCTGTATACTTTCTTTTTTTTTTTATTTTTATTTTTATTTTTTTTTTCTGTATACTTTCAAAACATATCTGAATGCATGGCTTTCTCCCCTCCCTACTCTCCTTTATCTTGTCACCTCACCCTTTATCTTTTCACTTCTGGAGAAAGGCAAGATCCTGTCACGTGGCTCCCTATTTTCATTCGTGCCTCCCTGCATTGTTCTTCATGTTCTGCCAAAGAAAATATGATTATGTAATACCTCTGCTTAAATCCCTCCAGTGGCCTACTGCATTTAGAATAATGTCCAGACTCCTTTCAGAGCCTGTGAGACCTCACATGGTCCAGCCCTTGCCAATCTCTGACTCCTTCCCTCACTTCATGAGCCCAGTGTTTTTTTAAACAAGTAGTAAATATAAAGTTGGATCTGTTAATGTAAAAAAACATTCAAACCTGTAAAGAATTTTTGTGAGTTTATTTGAGCCAAACTGGACAGTTGCCGGGAAGCGATATCTCAACGGATTGGGATGGTGCTCCAGAGAATGGCGGTTTCTCATCTATTTTTATACATTGCAGTCAAAGGAAGGGACGTAGGTGAGTTACATGAAATCCACTGATGATAGATTAGAGAGGCAGACGAAAGCAAAATCGGGGTGGGGGATGGGGGGAGGTGGAAACCCTGGGATTGGATAAAAAGTAAAATGATAGACACATACTTAGGTGGGTGCAGGAACAATTAACATAACAATGAAGGAATTTGATTTGTGGTATCTCCTGATGCCCAGGCACATTAGGTTGTGCCCCAAGGGGTCTGGAAAAAGGGAAGTTACAAGTTACCCAGACATTTCAAAGATATGTTATTATAGATGCAAAAAGACAGCCCTGGCCAGTTTAGCTCAGTGGATAGAGCATCAGCCTGTGGACCAAAAGGTCCCAGGTTCAATTCTTGTCAAGGCCACATGCCCAGGTTGCGGGCTCAATCCTCAGTGATGGGTGTGCAGGAGGCAGCCGATCAGTGATTCTCTCATCATTGATGTTTCTATCTCTTCCTCTCCCTCTCTGAAATCAATAAAAATATATTTTAAAAAAAAGACAGATAAGCTCAATTAAGGTAAAGGTTGACCATGTCAGTGAAGATAGGGGACTAGGATGTAACTACCCACCATACCTGCTTTTAATTAAAGTTTAATTTCAGACCATCCTTTGTGGTTACTTTAGGTCTCTGAGTTTGCAAGACCACTATGCAGGCCTTCCCTGAGCTTATCAGTTTATCATGTGGCCCCTTTCGTCTACAAATCAATTATGTAAATACATATGTTAACGTAAAAAAACCATTGAAACCTGTAAAGAATTTTTGTGAGTTTATTTGAGCCAAACTGTCGACATATGCCGGGAAGCAGAACCTCAATGAATTGAGATAGTGCTCCGGAGAATGGCAGGGTTACATCCGTATTTATACATGAAATTCATTGGTGACAGATTTAAGGAGGTGGGATTAAACGAAGCGGGGGGGGGGGGGGGGGGGAGGACCTCTGTGATAGGATAAAAAGTAAAATGATGGACATGTACTTAGGTGGGTGCAGGAACAATTAACATGATAAATGAAAGAATCTGCTGCATCTATCCTGGGCCCAGCACACCTGGCCCTGCCCCAGGGGCTCCAGATACAGGGAAATCACAAGTTACCCAGACATTTCAAGGGTATGTTATCATAGATGCAAAAAGACAGATAGGCTCAGTTAAGGTAAACGTTGACCTTATCAGTGAAGATATCAGCTTAGGACGTAACTGCCCACCATAACTGCTTTTAGTTAAGGTTTAATTTCAGACCATCCTTTGTGGTTACTTTAGGTCTCCGAGTCTGCAAAACTGCCATGCAGGCCTCTCCTGAGCTTGTCAGGTCAGCATATGGCCCCTTTCGTCCACACATAGAATAGTACCATACAAAAGTAAGTCGTGTCTCAAACTGTTTTGAAAAGGGTTTTGTGGCCTGGCTGGCCTGGCTCAGGGGTTGAGCGTCAACCTATGAACCAGGAGGTCATGGTTCGATTCCTGGTCCCCGGGTTGTGGGCTCTAACCCCAATGTGGGGCATGCAGGAGGCAGCTGATCAATGATTCTCTTCATTGAGGTTTCTCTTTCTCTCAAATAAAAATATATTTTTTTAAAAAGAAAAGAGTTGCCCTGGCCGGTTTGGCTCAGTGGCTAGAGCATCGGCCTGCCAACTCGGGGGTCCCAGGTTCAATTCTGGTCGGGGCATGTGCCTTGGTTGCGGGCACATCCCCAGTGGGGGGTGTGCAGAAGGCAGCTGATCAATGTTTCTCTCTCATCGATGTTTCTAACTCTCTACCTCTCTGTAAAAAGTCAGTAAAATATATTAAAAAAAAAAAGAAAAGAGTTTTGTGTCTTTCCATATTATTCAGTTCAAAGCTGTTTTTAAAAATCTATTTTTATTGATTTCAGAGAGGAAGAGAGAGACAGAAACATCAACGATGAATCATTGATTGGCTGCCTCCTGCACGCCCCCTACTGGGGATCAAGACCACAACCTGGGCATGTGCCCTTGATAAGAATAGAACTCAGGACCTTCAGTCCGCAGGCCTATACTGTATCCACTGAGTCAAACCAACCAGGGCTCTTTGTTTTATTTATTTATTAAAATATATTTTTATTGATTTCAGAGAGGAAGGGAGGAGGATAGAGAGGTAGAAACATCAATGATGAGAGAGAACCATTGATTGGCTGCCTCCTGCACGCCCCGTACTGGGGGATCGAGCTTGCAACTCAGGCATGTGCCCTTGGCCAGAATTGAACCCGGGACCCTTCAGTCCACAGCCGATGCTCTATCCACTGAGCCAAACCGGCTAGGGCTCTTTGCTTTATTTTCTTTTATTCTTTGAAGTGAACATATCAAGATTTTATTGTCATATAATAAAACAAAACACGAAGCTTAGAATTGGAGCACTTGACCCTTTCTCTTCTTATCTCCTCCCAGTTCAAAATGCTTGCATCTCTTAATAGCCAGCATTCTCTTAGATCTGCAGTTGGGCTCAATACACTCAAGCCTCGGCACAATCTTCTTTGTAGTTTTAGCCGTTTTTCGGAAAATCGGTTTAGTCTGCCCACCAATAGCCACTTTGCTTCCTGTCATAACGCTGCTTTCCCTGCCGCATACAGAGGATCCTTGCCCTTCTTGTACTGTGTTATTTTGTGGGGTGATGCTTGCCACACTTCTTACAGAAAGTCTGGCGGGTTTTAGGAACGTTCACCATGTTTGTGAGAGTGCTATCGGCAGGGAAAGGCTCTTTGCTTTATTTTTTAACACGAGCACAAATATGCCCATGCCTGTCCAAGCAACTGATACTATACACCTGATCTAGGAGCAAAAAAACAGCATGGGAGACTCAGAACTCAAGTTCTATATCAGTTCCCATGAAAATTTAAGAAACGGGAGTGGGCTGTCAATCAGTGAAAAATATGATAATAGAATTTCCAGCACTGACAGAGCTTTTGAGAGCTGAGTTCATCTCAGAATTGCACATGTTTGGGGATCAAAGCTTCTCTGATGGGTCACAAACAGCCCGCTAGCCTGGGAGCCTACAAATTGGCCTCTTTTGATAGTGAGCCTACAGACAGAGTGGTCTTTACAAATGTCTCTCCTCACCTTCCGAGAGGGAGAAGGGGTTATGAGAGAGATTCTAATAATAAGTGACCACCATTTATTGATGGCCTGATTTAACAAGTGTCAAATCCCGAGTTAAACTTTATCTCACTGAATCATTTCAAGCCCGTGGTAAGGTGAGTATCCTCCTCAGCTTACAGATGAGGAAACCAGGCTTCGACTGGTTGCACACACGTGTCCAGGATCACTCCTCGGTAAAACTGCCTCCAAATTCAGAATCTGCCGGCACCTTTGCACACGCCCCTCGCCCCTGGACAGTGAGGCTAGAACTACAATTCCCGTGGAGCTGTGCGGCAGTCTCGCGAGAGTAGGCTCAAAAGCGGCGGCGGGAAGGTGGCGGCCTCGGCTACGGCAGCGGTTGGGAGCCGGGCGGACTGCCGGGAGGATGGCGGACAGCGACATCTCCGACAATGAGCCTACGACGCGAACGCTGCTGCGGCGCGTGCTGGATACCGAGGCCCCGCGCACTCCGCGGCGACGCCAGAGCACTCGGGCCGGGTACGTGAGGCGCTGCCCGGCACAGGAGCCGCCGCAGGACCTGGCGAGCGGGGTGTCGGTGTCGTCCGGCGCTGACACAGTCTGCAGAAGGAAACTGAGCCTCAGAGAGTTGCGGAGCCCAAGGCTCGGGGAACCGGTTCCACTCCCTTATCTGGGCTTGGGTCCGCTGTGTGCGCCCCACCCGTCGGGCCTCCAGGCCGCCGAGAGTTCAGCGGTGCCCGCGTTGGGGGCGGTCCGCCCCTGGGAGTGCAGGATGGGCGCTCGGAAGCCGGCTTCCTGCCCCGTTCTCCAGGCCACTCCCTCCCCAACCCGCCCCGAGTGTGTCCAGGCGTCTGCCCTACACTGCTTCCCGGGTGGTCCCGGGCGGAGGGGAGGCAGGGACGGGGAAGGGTGCTTTGCTCGGGAACCGGGATTTGGCCTGACTTGGTGGGTGTCAGCGGGTGGCGGCTGTGTCGAGCTGACCTCACGGTGCAGAGGGTGCAGTTCCTTTATGGGCAATGGGAAGCCATTCGGGACGGGTGTTAGGCCTGCGTCCTTGAGGTGCGAGCTGTGCCCTTGGGAACATTTATGTGGCTCTGGCATCAGAGAGATTGGACTGGAGAGAGGAGGGCCAGAGTGATCCACGCGGAGGTTGCTGTCAGTCCCCAGCAAGTTTAAACATAAGCATCTTTTTCTTAGGTGGTTATTTTCATGGCTGGAATGGATCCTCTTCCAATGAGTCCTCTGGTCTGTGTGGCTAACCCCTCCTTCTGCCAGAGTCACGTCTGTGAAGCCTTCCTCGCCGCCGCCCCCTCTCCCCCCGTCTCTGAACTGGGTCATATTCTCCCCCTTCCCATATCCCGTTGGCTCCCTTTCGCCCACAACCCTGGTGGCATAGAGCTTGGAACGGGCTGTGGGAAGGACAGGAGGCTTCTGGCCCCCTGGCCCCGAGAGAAGAAGTCTGCAGGCTCAGATCCCTGATGAAGGCATGTCTCTGAATCGCCTAGTTCCCCTTTAACTACATAATTCTCAGAGCCGCTGGTCTTTATACAGGGTCCAGAGAACCCCGCTGGGAACACCTTTCTCTATGAGGCTGAGGAGTCAAACAAAGACAACTGCCGGGCGGCAGCCCCACAGAGCCAGGGTGAGTGCCCAAACCACTGACCACTGTAGGGCTGTGCTGCCTTCAGGGGCCCCTGAGGTCTAGCTCTGCTCTTGAGCCCACCTGGAGGGAATCCCAAGGCAACCTGCTTTTGCCTAAAGTCTATTGGCAGATTGGCCCACACTCAAACCAGGGGACAGCTGAAGGAACAGACACCCCGGACTCTGCTTGAGAATATCCTGTTAACCGGTAAGTGGGCGCTGGCCTGCTGGGCAGAGTTAGGCACCGGTCCCACGGTATCCCCTTATTCAGGACAGCTTGCCCTCCCAGCCCCACCCTCTTCTTGTTATTTCTACAGCCCCGGAATCTTCCATGGTCATGCCAGAGTCAGTGGTGAAGCCAGTGCCAGCACCGCAGGGGGTCCAGTTCTCCAGGCGGGAAAGCAGTCCTGGCAGGTGCACCGTGAATTCCCCACCTTGGGGGCTAGGCTGTTAGGCAGCTCTGATAAGGAAGCCTTCTTGGGGGGGTCCTCAAAGCCATATGTGGGCCTCCTGGCCTGTCTGAGATTAGTTCCATTCTTATAGTCTGGAACTGCAACTTCCTGAGCTCAACGCCCCCGCAACCTTGGCTCCAGGTCGGTTGACTTCTGGCAGGAGGAAGAAGAGGCTGAGATTGTCAGAGTTTCAGCAAGGAATGGACCAGGGGCTGCCTCTCTCCCAAGGTGAGGCCCTGGACAACACCTGTGGCCACCCTCTCTCTCCTATTTTCTGTAGAGGCATAGGAGGCCTGAGGGAGGGCTAGCTTGAGCCTGTAACTTACAGTTTCTTCTTTTTAGGTCCTGTTACAGAGCCTCCTGGGAATACTGGTGCCTCCTCCCTCAGCAGGTGCAGTTGCCCTCCTGGGGGTTGGTGGAGGAGAGGCTTGGGGGAAAAGGTGCGGACTAGATTCTGACCATATTGCTCACTGCCAATTAACAGCATGGTAGCTGTGTTCTAGAAGATGAGAGCACCAGGGCAGGTAGAGAAATGAGGAATTAGGCCTCAGTAGCTGACTTTCCTTTGTGACTCCTCTCTCCCACCAGCTCCCTCAACCTGACCTTTGCCACGCCTCTCCTGCCACAATCAGTGCAGAGGCCTGGCTTGGCCCGTAGACCTCTTACACGCCGAGCTGTCGATGTGGGTATATTTTTGCAGGATCTGCAAGATACTTCTGTGGCCACGGCTCTTCCAGGTAAGGCGATTTCCTTCTTGCAGCCTGTGGGGAAAGCTTTCCCCCAGGACAGATAGAAGGTGCTGCTGAGTCCAAGGTTGCTCCCGTCTTTATTGGATCAAGGGCAGTGAACAGCCTGGCCAATAGGACTGCTAGTGTACGGAGTTTCCGCCTTCCTTCCATAAGGTTCTCTTGTCGTGGTGGGACCTAGTCTTCGTTCCTCAGGGTCTTCCCGGTCCCCATGTCCTTGAGGAGCTACAAGGCTGAGGGTAGGAAAGGGGTGGCTAGAGTTTGTTGGGAGGTTGAAAGGGGCCAGGTTTCAGGATCACCTGGGAACCTGATTCCAGAAGACAAGGTCAGTAGGGTAAGAGGAGGGTTCCAGGCAGAGGGAGCAGAGTAAGAAGTAGAGAGTGGAGGCATGGATGAGCAGTTTGGGTGCAAGCAGTGGAGCTGGGAGTGCCAGACTAGGGAGCAGGAAGGTAAGCAAGGAGAGCTGTATTAGGGAGATAAGGCTTAGACTGCTATGTAGTCTTCTTTCTCTGAGGGCTACTTGGGATAGACTTATGGGGCCCCCTTATGAACAGGCTGTGGTGACTGGGTAGCAGCAGGTGGGGCTGGAATACATTGAGTGCCATCTGGTCCTTGATCTCCAGGTGACAGAACCCCTGTTGCTACCCTGCCAACGGACACCGTGCTGGAGGACACCCAGCCTTTCTCCCAGCCTTTGATTGGCTGTTCCCCCAGTGTGCACCACTCCATCCCCTCCCCCTCTCTCTCTGCTGAGAGGACTGTCAGTCGCAGGACATGGAGCAGTGGGCCTGGGCTGCAGAACAACAGTGAGTATGTGGGACAGGTGGCCTGGAGGCAAGCCAAGCTTGGGCAAGAGTTGGTACTGGTGGTTTTCCTTCCTCAGGTCCATATGTGTGCCCGTCAGAGTCCTATGGCTGTTGATCTCTCCTCCATCCAAAGGTAGAGTCAGTGTTAGGCCAGGAGACTCCAAACCACTACCTTTGGCCTTCTCTCCTTGAGGGCTAGGCTGGGTTTTCGTGCGGGACCAGCGCAGCCAAGGGTTCGGTGAGCCTGAAGGGGTGGCGGCGAAGGATTTAGAAGACAGACAAAGAGAATAAGCTGGGTCTAGGTCAGCTGTGGGCAAACTACGGCCTGCGGGCCAGATACGGCCCGTTTGAAATGAATAAAACTATTGAAAAAAAAAGACCGTACCCTTTTATGTAATGATGTTTACTTTGAATTTATATTAGTTCACACAAACACTCCATCCATGCTTTTGTTCCGGCCCTCCGGTCCAGTTTAAGAACCCTTGTGGCCCTTGAGTCAAAAAGTTTGCCCACCCCTGGTCTAGGTGGATCTCCTGTGCCTGGCTAAGGCCACAGAGAGGGATCCAGAGGGCAAACTGAGCCTTTATTTTATAGCCAGAGATAAATAAGGTAGTGGTCACCATAGTTACAATGTTCTTGTGAGTTTCACTTATTTTGGCAGTGCTTGCTGCACCTCCCACAGCTCATTAGCTTCCCAGATGAGATCTAGGGAGGTCCATCATAAGGTCAAGCCTAATTATGCTAAGAGGACTGTGCACTCTAAGCTGGGACTTATTTGTGGCTTTGCCAACAGGTCAGTCCGCAGCTTAACCCTGTAACTGCTCCCTACAGGTTTTACTATTCCATATTTACCCTTTTCAAAGCTACAGCCTTGACCTACTGCTTCTCTAGTCTATATTCTCTCCCCTTGATTCAGGTCCTAGGAAACCAGCCCAGCTTCTGGCTGGAAAGGCAGAGGAGGTTGACGCCCTTGCTATGGGCTTCCCGAACACCAGCAGTAGTACCTCTGGAGAAGATGGACTAGAGCCCTTATTGGGTGGAGTTGGTGAGGAGGTAGAGGAAAGAATGGAAGAAAGCATGAGCTTGAGTGAAGTGAAGGAAGCAGCAGGAGCACAAGCATCTGCCAGAGCAGAAGAGCCTGAGGCACACACAGAAGTGGCAGAAGCAGAAGGATCCTGGGGGGCTACTGAGGAAAAGGAGCCAGAAGGATCTTCAGGGGATAAGGACACTGAAGGTAGGACAGGTAAGGGGCCAGTGAAGGGATCGGGGGGTAAGTGGGGTAATAGTTGTGTTCAGCCCCTGGCCTTGGAGGAAAGTCTTATCTAGGTTCTATTTCTTTTCTTTTTTAAAAAATACATTTTTATTGATTTCAGAGAGGAAGGGAGAGGGAGAGGGGGGACAGAAACATCAATGAGTCACTGATGGGCTGCCTCCTGCACGCTGTCTCACACTGGGGATCAAGCCCACAACCCAGGCATATGCCTGACTGGGAATCAAACCATGACCTGGTTCATAGGTTGATGCTCAACCACTGAGCCATGCCGACCAGGCTAAGTTCTCTTTCTGAGCACAGGAAGAATTGGCCTAGGGAGACTCTGGGGTGCCCCTTGCTTGGTTGGCTGGAGCTAGATGGGGCCCTCAGTGAACAGGACAAGGAGGCTGTAGGCCTTCAGGGTTGTGTGAGACAGTTAGGCCTGAGCCCTCCTTGTAACTCTGCCCTTTTTCTGCAGCAAGGCCAGAGTTGGCCTCCAGCACCCCGGAGTTTCCTCAGGCCAGGCAACTGGAGTTCCTTGAGCCAGCCCCACCGACTAGCACTGCAGTGTAAGATTCCATGACCTTGTTCCACATGGGCCTCTTGGGAAGGGACAGGCACTGAGGTTGGCATTGGGCACCACAAGGTTATCCCTCTTCCTACAGGTATGCAGGTGATTAACCAGCAGAGCACCCTTAGGTGGGCTGGGTGGTACTCACGGAGAGCACATCTGTCCTGGTGCCTGCTTCTAGGGGCTGAGAGGAGCCTGGGTAGGGGGAAGTGGCCAGGTCAGGATATAGTCAGAAACGGTTTCCTGGAGGAGGATTAGCAGAATCAGACAGGCAGCAATGTGTTGAGAAGAGGGAATGTCCATGCCAAGGCCTAAGGGTCATGGGCCTGAGCAAGTACCAGTTTGTATGATGAGGCTAAATAGGGACATTGATCCTCCCAGACGGTGGAGGATCAGGGCCCCAAGGAAAGACCAGGCCTCTACGTGGCCTCTTGTCCCCATTCCCCCCCACCCCCCAGCAAATGGTTGGAGTTGTTGGTCCAAGCTGGCCAAGGAGCACAGGGCCCAGTCTTAGCAGGAGCCAGCAAGGTTTATCTTTGATTAGGGGCCTCTTCAGGCAGCAGATCATTCCTGCCCCCAGCTTATCTTCAGAGCCTCTGGAGCCTCTATCAGCCAGGCTTCCTACCCGGGTCCAAACTGCTGGCCCCAGACTCCGACAAGATCCTTATAAGATGGGACTGAGCCACTATGCTAAGCTCTTTAGCTTCTATGCTAAAATGCCCATGGAGAAGAAGGCTCTTGAGATGGTGGAGAAATGGTGAGTCCTGGACTCTTTGGCGGGGAGAGGAGCTCCTCACATTATGAACAGTCTGTTCAGTCTGCTGTACCCCAACCTTGACAGCCTGGACAAGTATTTCCAACGTCTTTGCGATGACCTGGATGTATTTGCTGCTCACGCTGGCCGCAAGACTGTGAGGCTAGAGGACCTGGAGCTGCTGATGCGACGGTAAGTGGGTGGACGCAGGGAGGTTGTGTGTGTGGAAATGCTGACACTGATTCTGTCTGTCTCCATCCTCTTCTGCTGCAGGCAGGGCCTGGTCACTGACCGAGTCTCCCTGCATGTGCTTGTGGAGCAGCACCTGCCCCTGGAGTACCGGCAGCTCCTCATCCCTTGTGCATTCAGTGGCAATACCGTCTTCCCTGCCCAGTAGTGGTCAGACTTCAACACCTGCCCTGTCCCCACCAGGGGCCCCTTGGCCCCACATGCTCTTCCAGGTCTCCTCACCATGCCTCACCATCAATAAAGTGTCATGCGCTGGCCGGTTTTCTCAGTAGAGTGTCGACCCATGGAGGATTTGCACTTACCTCCCTTGCAGGTTCCCTAGCCTCGGTAGGGGCGTGTGCAGGAGGCAACCAATTGATGTGTCTTTGTCACGTTGGTGTTTATCTCTCTCCCCCTCCTCCCTCCCTTCCACACTCTAGAAATCAATGGAAAAAAGATTCTTGGGTGAGGAATAAATAAATAAACAAATAAATAAATGTCACAGAGAGGATCTGTTGTATTTTGATCAATATCCTGGGACCAGCTCCTCCCCTTAACTCCCCAGCATAACCCAGAGAATAGCATGGGTTCAGACAAACAATTTTATACTAAAAGTCAGGGGTTAGCTGCCCACAGTGGTCCTAGCTTGCAGGCTCCTGCTCCCGAGGTCCCTTGCGCCTGATGTCGATTATTTGAAGTCGTTCCAGGACAGTCCGGACCTGTGCCACAACGTTCTCTTGATTCTCCTCACTCTCCTCTGGCACTTCTATCACGGGGACCTGGAAGGCCTGGTTCAGATAGCTGTTCAGGGTCTGCTTGTCCAGGCTGGGATCGATGATCATCAGGCTCTCACGTAATTTGGGTAGGGTCACCTCTTCACGGCTGCCCCATAGTAAAAGGGAGAGATAGATAGGCCTTGACACCCCTCTCACACACCCAAGACCTCAGGATGCCTTTCTCCCAGGTTTGAGCAATATATATAATGTCCGGCAGCAAGCTTAGTACACAGGGAGACCCAGGGGCTTGAGATGCCACCCTGTGGCCCAGTCTGTGGGACTTGTCTATGGCTGAGGGCCCCAGGGTCACTCACAGTTCCAGGCCCAGCTCTTGCTTTAGCTCCTGTAGGTACTCATCCTTTTCAGACATGTACTGGTCCCACAGCTTGTGCACAAAGGGCATAGTCTGGCCTTCGTCATCCTGGGAGGGGCCAAGACAGGATGATGGCACATGGGCTAGAGTCTAACAAACTAGGGCAGGGCTGGGCAAGTTCCTGGATACCAACCCCCCTATTTACCCACCCACCTCCACAAACAATGAGCGGTAGTTGAGCAAGTCTGCATTGCTGCTGTTGATATGCCAGCCCCCTGCCTCCATCAGCTCCTGAATTTTGTCTTCCTTCTTTAAGGGGAAGGTATTCTTGAGCACAGTGCTGTGAGAGACACAAGGGCCTGGCTGAGGCCTGCCCATCCATCTCCCTGCACCCTTTTGCCAGCCCCACGAGTGCTCAAAAGTAGCCAGCACTGAGGCTGTGGCCTTCCCACGAGGATCCCTTTCCCCTGCACATCTGGGAGCCTGGCCAGCGGGGATGTCAGGCAGAACTTGGAGGTGGCCTGGCTGGCCTCTTACCTTAACTGCTCCATGGTTAGTACCCCCTCGTTCTGATTGTCAACATTTGTCAACTCCTTCAGCAGCTGTGTTACTGTCTCCTTCTGCTTGATATACACACTTTCGCTCTTCTGCAGGGAGGGAAGCACTAACTTGCATCTTGTAGGGGTAAAGACAGAGCTGGCCTATCCTGGGGACAAAGGGTGGAGGGCCAGACCCAAGCTCACCTTTTCCATCAAGATTTCATAGAACTGACGCATGAGCTCATTGGAGCGGAAGAGCTTAATATTTTCAAAAATCGTGTAAGCCCAGTCCATGGCATCAGACCCAAAGCGAGACTCCAGGAATTTGAAGAAGAAATCTGAGAACTTATCTTTCTGCAGTGTAGGGGAAGATTGCTTTGTTACCCGTCCCATGGTTAGTTGGCCCTCCACCCTGCTTCCTAGCACCTCGATGGAATCCTCCCCACACCCCTCCCAGGATAACTCGAGGCCATGCCTGGCTAGATGGCTGGTGAGATCTGACCTGTTCCTCAGTGAGACGTTCCTTCCAGGCATCCTTGAGGAGGTTTATCACATCCTTCTTGGTTGGCTTCTTATTCCGCACAACGCCATCAAACCGAAGAAAAGAGGGGAGGATAGATTCCTGATAGCCCTGGAAGAGAGAGAGTCAGCCCATCGCTGAGCTCACCTATGGCCCCAACCTTAAGCAGGGCAGAGTCCCAGAGGGTTCCCCCAGAACCTCAAGTCTTCTCAGCAGCAAGGCCTGGCCATCCTGACTGGCCACAAGTCTCTTGAGCCCTGGGGCTCCCCTACCAGACCCTGGAAGAAGTCTTTCTCCCGGAGCAGCCCCTCGCCAATCTCCTCCAGGAGCACATCCACCAGCTGGTCACTGTTCTTGCCCTCAGCCAGCATGTGCCAGCGCTCTGGACCCCCAGCCACTACATCTGCAGGTGGAGAGAGGAAGCTGGAGTCTGGACCATGCACTTGAGCAGTCCTTGGAACCCCAATTACCTTCAGTGGCCATCATTACCTTCGCACTTGATCCAGTCAGGCCGTGGTGTGGAGGTGCCCTGGATCTCCTGCAGCTCAGTGTAAAACTGGTCCCGTTCCTTCAGTGTCGTCATGTGCAACTGCAGCAGTATCTCATGCTCCTTGCGGACCTCTTCATAGTCATCTCTCAGGCTTTCCAGCTGTGGGCAAGGTGATTGGTCCTTGCTACCCACCTGCATGACCCTGCCCTACCTGCCTGGCTTGCCTGCCCACCAGCACCTGCTCCTGCAGATCCTTGTTGGTCTTCTCCTGCATTTCAAAATCCCTCCTGGGCACCACATCTCCAAAATTGGCCTTCATGGTGTTGAGCTCCATCTGGGTGCGGGCCAGGTCTTGCCGGGTCATCTTCAGAGCCAGTGCTAACTTCACGGGGTCCTCCCCCCAGACGCCTGCCAGGAGGCCTGGCAGCTCGAATCACCCTGGCTCTGGGGCCTATAGCCCAGGTCAGGGTTAGAGTGTCCCTTGGGGCATATCCCAGGTCCTTCTGCTCTCCATGCTTGGGAATCCCTGGGTCTTCCCCACAGTGTTACCAGCCTATAGCTGAGGACTTGGAGAAACCCAGGACAAGGGGTACCAGGTCTATCGTGCGCAGGCTGCCTCAGCTGCCAGAAATTGTATCCCACTTAAACAATGAGTCTGATCCTCAGTCCAGCTCAGAAGATCCATAGACCAAGATGGCAGCAGGAACATCTCCCATCACGAATGGGCACACACTGAGCATATATGAGGAGAGCTGAATGAATGGGAGTGAGTAATAAGAGCAACTTCTCTCTAGCACTTCCTCAGGGGAGAGAACCCCACCTTGGGTTTACCTGGGGACTGGGCTAGTGACATATCTTCCCGCTGGTACCGTAGCTCATTCAGGTCTGCGATGAGGATCTTGCGGGCATCTCGCTCAGTGAGGTAGCGCAGGTACTCCTCAGCCAAGCTCTTCCTCAGTTTGGTCACCTGTTGGGAAGGTGGCCGCATGGTCAGGGGCTAAGTCACCACAGGGGATGGGATGTGTGCTGAGTGGCCCCATCAAGGCCTGGGAACAAGAAAGCTAGAGGAAGAGTGGCCACTTTAAGAATCAGCAAAGCGCCGAAACCGGTTTGGCTTAGTGGATAGAGCGTTGGCCTGCGGACTGAAAGGTCCCAGGTTCGATTCCCGTCAAGGGCATGTACCTGGGTTGCGGGCATATCCCCAGTAGGAGATGTGCAGGAGGCGGCTGATCGATGTTTCTCTCCCATCGATGTTTCTAACTCTCTATCTCTCTCCCTTCCTCTCTGTAAAAAATCAATAAAATATATTAAAAAAAAAAAAAGAATCAGCAAAGTGCTGATGTGTCCTCTTGTGGAAAAAGTCTGGCAGTTAAGGAGCAGAACTTTGCTGGCATTTGGGGCCACACGGAGCTAGTGCTGAGCCAAAGCAGAGTGTGGAGGTAGCAGGAGCTCTGAGGAGGTGGTGGCTCAGTGTGTCCTTCCAGGCAGAAGGGTGGAGGGAGTTAAGGAGTCCCCTCAGCCCCACGGCCTGGGGTCATCCCTGGGGGGGGGGGGGCCGGGTTCAGGGAGCTGGTCACCATAGTGCTCCCTTTCACCTCGCTCTGCAATGAGATCTTCTCCTCATTCTTTTTGTCAATGAGTTTTAGCAGACCCATCTTCTCTTTCTTCAGCATAGAGATTTCGGATCTCTCTTCAGCCCTCATGGCCAGGATCCTCTCGTTGCAGTCCTCATTCACTGTAACAAGCTTGGCCTTCAGGGGTTCCAGAGCCCGAATCTCCTCCCTCTGGTGGGCTAAGCAGGGGCAGGTGGGAGAGAACCTTTAGGGCCAGGGAGAACAGCCAGGAGAAACTAATCCTAAGGTCTCAATGAGTGGCTAAGTCCCTTGAAAACTCTAGGAGTATACTCATGCCTTGTGGCCCCTACTTAAGACCTTGCACTTGCTTTTAAACCAGGACAGAGTCCAGATGAGGACTGGGGTCTCGCCTATGCCCTTTTCCCCTACAGCCTTTACTCCAGCAGCTGCACCAGGCCTAGCACCTCCTGAGCCTGGTCGGAGAGCCTTCTTACTTCTCAGAGGCACTCACTCCCTCCTGAGATCACTCTCAATGGGAAAGATGCTCTGTTTCCTACAGATACTGCCTCTCCATGCTTCCCAAGGATAGGAGATGGCCAGGTGCCCTGTCTTAGGACAGTGGAAGCAAAAAGGCTAAGCAGGGCTTGGTGACCTCAAGGCTCAGTTAGGCCCTTGCTAGTTTGGCTCAGTGGATAGAGCATCAGCCTTCGGACTGAAGGTTCCCGGGTTCGATTCCAGTCAAGGGCACATGCCTGAGTTGTGGGCTCGGTCCCCAGTGTGGGGCATGCAGAAGGCAGTCAACCAATGATTCTCTCTCATCATTGATGTTTCTATCTCTCTCTACCTCTCCCTTCCTCCCTGAAAACCAAAAAAAGGCTCAGTTAGTAGCTGCCCCAGAGCTGCTGCAGAGTCCTCTGCCTCTTCCGGTCTGGGCCTAGGCGGGAGGCTGCAGTCTTACCCAGCATCATCTCATATGCATTCTTGATGGAGGAGAGCAGTGGCTTGTACGTTTTGAAGTCCTCTATGAAGAACTCAAAGATCTCTCTGTAAGGCTGGTAAGAAAAAGGAACCTGTTACCTCCTCCTGACCTATAGGTGCCACCCTCAGTGGAGCCTGAGTTTTTCTTTACTTGGCTTAGAATAATTCTAGCATGAAGCTGCCGGGTGGCCCACATTCAAGTAAAGGCCCCAGGCATCACCCAAATTTCTCCTCGTGCCAGGGAGCTGAGGGGCAGCTCTGTTCCTCTC